CCCCCCCCCCACCCCCCTATCATTGTGCCCTCCTGGGACTCCGTCCTCTCAGGACAGACAGTTCACACGGATGAGGATCAGTAATCCCGGATCACGCACTGACACTACAACAACCGTCATACATGTTGTACTTTGCTCCTCTGCCCGGCCCACGCATGGCTCTTTCCCCCGAGGACTTACCTGCACGGCTATCTGCGTCCCGTTGGACGTGGCAAGCAGGGTGACCGGCCTGGACTCGGTGGTGACAAGGTGGTGGCTGTGCTGCTGTTGGCTCAATTCCGTGGAGGCCGCATGGAATGCCGAGAGATCCTGAGCAACAATGGCCACCTGGAAAGGGCATCGGATCTGGTGGTTAGATGACATCATCAAGGGCACAGTTATGACAACCTCGTTACTATGAATTATGAGCAACGGCCGTTACATCCTCAGTATGAAGTCTGGGGACACGAGGGCCAATCATCAATCAACGGAGCGGTCCTCACAGCAGCCTTTATATCTCCTCTTGACTATTGCAACTCCCTCCTCATTGGCTGACCTCTGAACAGGCTCCTCCCCCCTTCAGTCTATCATGAATACAGCTGCCAGACTCATCCACCTAACCAAAGCCCTAAAGTGTACAGCGCTGCGCAAACTGTTGGCGCTCTATAAATACTATGTAATAATAAAGTGTCTGAGGAGTATCTCACCGGGAAGCGGCATTTCTTGCGCCTCATCACATCAACTTGTAGAAAAGATTAATAAGCGATTATTATAAAGCCGTCTATGGATCGTCCTTCCTGAACTTCTCTCCCTCAGTGTCATAACTAGAACATCGAAATACTTCCCGCTACCCACAATCCTCCTCTCCCCGGGCCGCAGCGCTATGGTTACTCTGGGGTCTGTGCATCCAGGGGCTTGCAGCGCGGCCTCGTAGTTATAACCGGTGCGTGCGCATTGCGTTGCGGTTGTGCATCCGGTCGCATGCGCTTCCCTGCTGCTGGGCAAGTTCACAGGCTGAGAAACTCTCCCGGTGCCCGGCGCTCTGACTTCCTGTCGCCTCGACACACGAGATTAATATCTCCTGCCCTGCTGGTTTCTGATTGTGTGACTGTGCCGGAGCCTCCTGCCCCCCCATTCGTACAATCCTCCTGCCTGCCACGACCTCGGCCTGGACACCGACCTCTCTCCAGCCTGATCCCTGACCTCTGGTAGTCCCGCCTCCTGCGCACGGCCTCCCTGCTCCTGCTGAATGCCTCCAATTGGTCGATAAAGAAATAACCTGTGTACAGATCCCGAGCTGCAGACACAGCGCTGTAAGAAGCTGACCGCTGCTGTACCTCCGTCACCCCCCGATACTCACATGTTGGGTGCCGTCCTGGGATATCAGAGCCAGCTGCTGCCCTGACTGGGCCACCGCCGCCGGCAATCCATCCTCTCCCTCCATGCCAGTGACGTACGTGATCTGAGAGCCTTTCAGGACATCGTCGGCTGCGGAAGAGAGGAAGATACAATCTTGAGAAGAGGAGAAGTGAAAGCAGAGTTCAGGAGTAGTGATGGGCTCGGGGCGTGTTCGCAGCTCCGCGTGCCAGGAAGCCGGCGGCGCCGATCGCAGGTGCTGAGACATTTCCCGATCTCTGCGGCTGCGGACCGGGAACATGTCTCAGTATCTGTGATTGGCGGTCAAGCTTCCCGGCGGGCTCGGCACGTGGCGCTGCGAACACGCCCCGAGCCCATCACTATTCGGGAGCCAGTCGGTCTAATCAAGGCGCCGGCACAAACAATAGATACATTTCTAGACACATCGGTGACCTGGGCTCAGGGGAAACGTCCGATTACTTCACATGCGTTGGGGTTTAGATCAGTTTGGCACTCGATGAACCACAAAGCTGGAATTGTGCGTCATTCGGGCTCGGTTCTTATTCTGCGTGACCCGTTTTGGAAAGACGCCGGAGGAAGAGACCTGCACATGAGACCCGTCTGTATATTGTACAATTATCATTATTATACGAGTCACGTGGTTTGATGATGGCGGCAGACGGCCCGCGCCATAGGCAGGTGTACTGTGTGCGTGGTAAGCAAACGTCTATTTATTGACGTGCAGCACAACAGGTATTGCAACAAATGTTTCGGGGTCACGCAGGAACCCCTTCCTCAGGCAAAAAGCTTTTTGACTGAGGAAGGGGATCCTGCATGACCCTGAAAGCTTTTTGCCTGATGAAGGGGATCCTGCGTGACCCCGAAACGTGACCCTGAAAGCTTTTTGCCTGAGGAAGGGGATCCTGCGTGACCCCGAAAGCTTCTTGCCTGAGGAAAGGGATCCTGCGTGACCCCGAAAGCTTCTTGCCTGAGGAAAGGGATCCTGCGTGACCCCGAAACGTGACCCTGAAAGCTTTTTGCCTGAGGAAGGGGATCCTGCGTGACCCCGAAAGCTTCTTGCCTGAGGAAAGGGATCCTGCGTGACCCCGAAAGCTTCTTGCCTGAGGAAAGGGATCCTGCGTGACCCCGAAAGCTTCTTGCCTGAGGAAAGGGATCCTGCGTGACCCCGAAACGTGACCCTGAAAGCTTTTTGCCTGAGGAAGGGGGTCCTGCGTGACCCCGAAACCTTTTAGCCTGAGGAAGGGGAACCTGCGTGACCCCGAAAGCTTTTTTGCCTGAGGAAGGGGATTCTGCGTGACCCCGAAAGCTTTTTGCCTGAGGAAGGGGATCCTGCGTGACCCCGAAAGCTTTTTTCCTGAGGAAGGGGATCCTGCGTGACCCCGAAACGTTCGTTGCAATACCTGTTGTGCCGCACGTCAATAAATAGACGTTTGCTTACCACATTGGAGTGCCGGTGTCTCTGCTTTTGCTTATGTTTGTGACGGTTGCCACCCGTCGGCTCCCGCTTTTGAAGAGGGATTTCGCGGTCAGGAGTGCGATGGACTTTCTGTACTGTGTCCGTCGCACACCCGCAGCCCACGCCGGGCCCTGTAGCGAATCGGTGGACGGCACCGCCACACAACCACAGGAAAGAATCCTTATTTTCTGCACCGAGAGCGGCCTTTCTTCCCCCGGCGGGCACGTCAGGGAGCTTGTCACCTCTCGTCTGTCACCTGCGCCTCACAAATAACAGCGAGTAACCATGGCGTCGAGGCGAGCGGCGGTTTGGAACGCGACAAAGACATTTCATTCCTCCGGTGATAGACGCGACATATTACAGCCGGCGTGCGGAGTCTGGTCTCGGCTCTCGGACGCACCTCAGACCTGTGAACGGGTTAACCATTAACCGCGCCGACAATAAAAGTCTAACGCTCTGTGTACTCAGAAGGAGCCGCCGCCGGCCACACTGCTGATGAAGCTTTTCTTGTTCCACACTTACACAATGACAACAATATTTGCTCGGTGAGGTCATAGTAAATGATTCGCAATCTGTGCCGGCTCTGATAAGGAGCAGCGATGGAATCCGGGGAGACACGGAGGAG